AAACAAACAAACACTAGGAAAGAACCAGAAGCAGAGATCTAGAGGAAGAAGAAGTACATTCCTGAGGGAAAGATCACTTCCGAGCAAACCCAAAACACTTTGAAAGAGCTAGCATCCCTCTACCGTTTTCACTAAACCCGATGAAAACCCTAAAACAGTTAAAGGAGGGAAAAGAAGCAAAAGAAGAAGATTTAGTATTCTTCCTTTGCTCACATTTGATCCGATTTCATTTGGGGAGAGAAAGTGGGTGAAGATGAAACCCTAGATGAGAAAGCGTAATTAAAAAATGCCGAAAATTTGCAGTTTCCGAAAATGAAGACGAAGACAAAGGAAGGGAAGGAAGAGAGAAGAAGAGCACAGGAAACAATGGGCATCGTGCAGAGAATATTGTCAGTAGGCATGAGTACACTTCTACAAAAAAACACACGAAAACCGCGCGAAACAATGAAATTAATTATATAAGGGGTTTTGCGAACCCCGTGTCCCATTAAATTACTCAATTACCCTTTGTAAACATTTTTATGTTTTTTGGGTTTTCTGTTTTGTCCACTCTACAATGGCCCTGTTTGGATTTTGGAAAGTTGACTACTTTTTTTTGGGGGGAAAAGTGCTGGCATGCCATCTGGAACCAACAATTACTTTCCATGGTTGGTTCCAAAACTTCCCTTCTGTGTTCAGTGGGCAGGCAAAACCTTACATAAGCCCCAAATTTATTCTAAATTGTTGAGTAAGCCCCTAAATTTATCTTGAAAAAAATAAATTTATAAACTTAACAATGTAAACAATTTAACTCTCTCTTTTTATGATAAACCTAGTGCTCCTTTATGCTTTGCTTGTGTAAATAATAAATTGATATGTCATTGCCTATGTAATTGGTATTGAGCTTGTCTAAAAAAATAAAATACAATGAATATTAAGTTCACAATAAGAAAAAGAGTTAAACTATCCACATTGCTAAGTTTTGAAATTTATTTACTTCAATAAAAATTTAAAAACTAAATAAAAAAAATTTAGGATAAATTTGATAACTTAACCTAGGGTTTTACCTTTTTAGTATTGGAATCAATTTTGAAATCTTAGAAGTTTTGCAATATGAAAACCCATAGTGTTTACTATAGAAATTTAAAATTGATAAACACCCATTATTGGATGAAGGGGCTCTCCACTAATATTAAGTTGTTAATATTTTCTAATTTTGATACAATTTAAATATTTTAATGTTTAAATTTTATCAATTGAATTAATAAAACAAAGATAGAGACAAGCATGATAAGCGGAAGCTCAAAATTACTCTTGTAGAAGAGG